AATACGCTCCCCTTCCTTAATTATCTCATTAGCTGAAGAAATGACAGAAAATATAGAAAAACAATCCATACTAACCAATTACCAATTTAACATCCCACTATAGAACAACTATCATAATACAATCTTTGAAAAAGATAACACTATCATATGTCAAAAATATCTCAGAAATAACCAAGACTATTACAACCCTATGGACACATAACCTAACCTAAATCCCTGAAAAATTATCTCATGTAAACCAAAAGACCCCATAGTCCAAGAAAAAAAAAAAAAAAAAACCAGGAGTCATGTACAACATATAGTGTAAGGCAGGCATGTCAAACTCGCGATGTCACGTGACATCGTGTTATGTATCATGACTTTTCCCCATTGCTGGCAATGGGCTGGGTGCAGTTTTGGTGTGATGCATCCGGCCTGCAGCCGGCAGTTTGACATGCCTGGTGTAAGGTATCTGTTTTAAAAATGAATGTGGCTTTAGCCATTTTCCCTATTCATTTTTGGTTGACACATAGAAAGGGGGCAGGGAGGATTGCCAGGCTTGGCTAGTCAAAATATTATTTTGTCCCATGAGAACCAAGGTCATTGGCTGCTCCCGAGGCAGGCTGGGCGTTTTGTGAAAAGCCCTCCAAGAAGATATATTGGGGAACGTAGTTGCTTGCATTGCTTTAGAGGTGGGATTTCTTAACTTTGTATTGGGGAATTGTTATGTGTGTCTTCAGACTTGGTTTCACTTTTGATATGCTGATACTTTGTAACTAATAAACATGTTCTTCGAGGAATTTCCAAGCCTCAGAGTTCTGCTTTATTTGTCTCTGTCTATCAGAACCTTGATATACAATAATGGCCAAAATTGTGGAAACCTTTTGGGAAAAGTGTACAGTAGAAATACCACCTTTGGTTAAGTTTCCACCAATTTTTCTTCTAATTTCTTTATAACTGTAGCCTTGTTCACTCAATAATACTATTTTACATCACTCTCTGGGAAACCAGTCAACTCTTTGCACTATTACTTTAATTTTATTACATTTTACAAGGTCACTAAATGAAAGAACACAAAAAACCCAATCAACTTGATAGCGATCACATAACACAAATTTCATCTTCAATACATGACATCAATAACTGAATCCTACTGTGATCTGATTGGCTCATTGCCAAAACAAGATGACACCTGATTGGCTCTCTAAACACTCATGGTCATTGGCTACAATCAGATGAAGGAAAGCTACCTGATATCAACCTAAGCAAGTTGTGCTTCCTTTTTCTGGTTATTTGACTGTAACTTTTCATAGAACACAGTACAGATAGTTGAACAAACTTTGTTGAATTAAATTCTTGATTAAATTATCTTTCCATTGATATGTAATTTTATGGTATTACTCCCCCCAAAAAAGTGGTGTTATTAGCCATCAAACCTCAAAAATACACATTTCCCAAAAGGTTTCCACAATTTTGGCCATTACTGTAAGGACTATAACAGCCACTATGTAGGAACAAGCAGAAGACCTGCCAAGTGCACCCATGAACACCAACTAGCAGTTCAAAGACAATGAAAACTCACAACACATAGAAAGACTCAACCATAGTTTCAATTGGGGAATCATAACCATCCTAGACCAAGCTAAATCCAAAAACCCAAGACAATTCTTGGAAGCCTGGCATTCAGATAAATCAGCTATCAATAAACAGAGAAACAACCCATATTTACACAGCATTCAAAAGAGACAATAAAAAAAGCTAAGACGGAAACACAAAGACCAGAACACATCCTCTCCAACAGCCAACATCTAGATAAGCAGGAATTATCACCAGTCAAACAAGCAAGCAGAAAACAATAACCTAATCAAAGAACTACCAATGAGAAAACCAAACCCCCACCAATACTGGCAGGATAAGCTACTGTATATAAACAGGGAGCAAACCCCATACTTACCTGCAGTGATTATGGTACCTAGTCAGGTAATGAAACTGTGCAAGCAAACAATCAAGCTCAAAGAACACCAAGGACTCCACAATTCAACCCTGAACTACATATATACTTTTCTATAGAGCTATGTCTGATTATCAGCTACAAATGTTCATTTAGAATTTCAATAATACATTTCAGTTCAGACTTACTTAGGGCCAAAGTTACTGTCCTATGAAACACATAATGTATATTCTTATCCCTCCCCCCACAAGTTTTCAAATAGCAATACTGAGCCCATTAATTGGGATGAAGGTTTGGGAGAAGAGGATAAACTTTTTCCATCTTTATATATTTTTTCTTTTTAATCTCTCTCACTTGCTATTTTGCCCAAATTATACAATTTTTCAAGATTTCCAGACTCTAGCCAATTGAAACCTGGAGCTGAAAATCACCAGGATCTGGCCAATCAGAAGTAACCAACAGTTACAAAAATGAAAACTAAAGGGACAGTTTCAAGAACTGGAAATTTTTTAAGAATTTCAAGTACGAGTAAGTATTGAAAACTGAAGCCATTTGTTGTTAAATGAACAACAATACATTTTTTCAGTATTTACTGACATATGAAATGGCTGGAAGCAGTTGGAGAAAATAGGTTCATATGTAAAATTATATCTTTTTTTTCAGTTTCACTCTCTGGGGCAAAATATCAGTGAATGAAGGGAATTCTTCCTTCCTTCCATTATTCTACAGTATTTGTGCAGAGATGTCTCTCTTTGCTGTTATAATAATTTTTTTGAAACAGATGGCATCCTATCACATAACATCACACACAAAGGGTACTGTGGGTGATAAACATATGGCTGCTAATAGCTATGAAAACAAGTTCATTTTTCTTCTTTAAAAAGGTGAGAAATCCTTCAACTTTACAGTGCCAAAATATATCCTCTCTCATTTTACCATTTGAAAATATTATAGGAATATGTTACCCCAGATAGCTATTCTTCAAAACTTCTGTAAGTCTTCTGTGCTTTCCCATCTCATACAAACTATCCCATATTATTTTCCCTGGATATATCCTCTCATTCTTTGCTAATACTTTAAACTATATAAAATAAAGAGTTATAATAGTTGATTTAATATAATTTAAGTTATGAAATAAATAAAAATACATATGATCATTGAATCTGCCTTTTAAAGCCTCTAGCAAATTTCAGTGACACTATTGTCAATAGGGTAGTATGATTTCCTATTATTCTAAAGTTTGAGATGCACCAGGAAATGTTCTTCCTTTATCACTCTATAAGTATAAAATGGCAAAAATATGTAACATTCCTTCCTTCCTTCTCATAACCAGATTCTCAGCACATTAACAGAGCCGTATCTTTAAAGCTGTTCAGAAACTCTAAAATAGGCCAAACCAATGAAAACAGCTAAAGTAGCATCAGCAACCACCACCATCATTACTATGGTTTTTTTTTCAAAAGACCAACTATCCTAGAAATCCTTGAAAAACATATATTATTCTCCTATTCATTTGTGGTCCCACTAAAATCATAGATACAATCTTGCTTACTCATGCTGGAACCCAATTTTCATGCATACAATCTGAATGAGGAGAAATATTTTGGGGACCAAAGGATAGCCTCCATCTTTTGACAGCTACAGTAGGTTCCTCTGAGCATCAGTTTTATTAAAATGAAATGAATAAATCAAAAGGAAATTAATTTATTACTGTCTCTGGCTGTGGCATATATTTTTGGTCCATATTTAATGTATGGGAACAACTTTTCTGGTTTTAGTTACAGGTGGCAAATAGTATTAATGAGATAAACAGTTATTTTAAAAAGTTATCTATTAATTCTTAAAAAGCCAGACAGGTTGCTTTGTCTTTGTTGAGATCTTTTGAGATTGCCTGGTGATTTCCTTGAGACCTTTCAGATGGTCTCAACAAACACAATGAGTTTTTAATACATTGCAATTGTTAATTGGTAAGTTACTTAGTATCTGTCTTACATGTAACCTTACCTATAGAATCAACCTATCTTCCCTTCCGCTTTCCCTACCCCATCTTACCCCACTTTAATTTCTACATCAATCTGGTTACTCTATGCATCTGATAAACTGAGCTCCTGGCTTCAAAATGCCTTTTAATAAAATGCGTTGACTAGAAAAGGTGTTACCAGACACCAGGTTTTTTGTTGCCATACATTAACCTGGATCTCTTGGTACAATCTCAACAGAATACTGAGGTATCAGTTGACTACAGTTGGAGGAAATTACAGTAAACTACAAAGGAGGAAACTAGAGAAGGGAGGATTAGACTGAATAAGGACTAAACTGAACTTAAGAAAATTCAAATTCTCAAATACAATCTAGCTAGAAATTGTTGCTTATGTATAAAAATAATTGTTTTATCCAATATTCAAACCACAATGCTTTTAAAGAAGTATATCTCGACGAATACATAACACTATTCATCCTTACATAACATTATTCAAGTAAACCAGAGGGTTTTAGTAAAAAAACAACACCACAGGGAGAGTATACAGTATATAGGTAGTTCTTGCTTACTAACAATCTCATTTAATGACTTTTTAAAGTTACAATGGTGTAAAAACTCGCCTGTACTGTGATTGATGTATTGAAATGAATATATATATTTTATTTACTTATTAGATTTGTGTGCCTCCCATCTTGTCTAGAGGTGATTTACAAACACAAATCCTTGCATCTATTGTGGTGTTTCACAATCACATGATGGCTACTTGTGTCTTTATAACCAGCTTCCAACAAGCAGAGTTAATAGAAAATGCACAACCAAAATTGCAAGTGATAGTCATGTGTCTTGTTTCAGTGTTTCATTTAATGACTGAATAGGAAATGATCATGTAACTTTCTGCTGACTGACCACAGCGTCTAGTAATAGAATTGTTGATACCAATATAGTAGCTATATGAAGACTACTTATATGTTTGCAGATTGAAATTTTTAAAAAGTATAACTGAAATACAGAATTCCTCAAACAGGTTTTCTTTACCCCAATGTATCAGTTTGACACAACAGCACATAATGGAAAATGAATCTTACTTACCCTATTACAATACAAGAGACAGCTGTTCCTAAAAAAGCATATGCTAAAATGGATCCTAAATTGCGAAAAAAGTGTCTCTGGAAAGAAAAAAAAGATAAAAATAATCTTGTGAATGTTGTATATTTTATCATGTTATTTTTTAATTTATTTATATCTACCTCTATTATTTTTACAAATAATCCAAGGCAGCAAACCTACCCAACACACATTCCTCCTCCTATTTTCCCCACAACAGAACTCTGTGAGGTGAGTTGGGCTGAAAAAGAGTGATTGGCCCAAGATCACCTATCTGCCTTTCATGGCTAAGGCAGAACTTGAACTCACTCCTGCTTTCTAGCTTTGTGACTTAATTACTAGACTAAACTGTAATTGTATGCTTTAGTCAAATCCTACACTGGTTTCAACCACTTTTTATATTTAATTACAGTTGTCAATGCTTACATTCCAGCAAGTAAGAAATATCTTCTCCAATACATATTTAAGGGTCTGGGCAATAAAACACATTTCTTCCAGTTGCATTGCGTAAATTACAGATAGAAGTGGCACTGCTGTTCACTTTTGGGATAGACCACTTAAATATAATCTTCCATAGAAGCAATATTGTTGAAAAGACTTTATCTGGACTATTTTCTTAATTGTAATTTGAAGACTGACTTATTTTCAAAGTGTTGATATTGGTGTTGATATCAGAATTTTTATTAAACAATGGTCAGGTTATATAGTCTCAATATATCAAGAAGAGTGTAGAATATTGTGTTGTATCAAAAATTTAAATACCTTTCATTCTTTTTCATAACATTGTGTGTTGTATTATTGTATTTGAAAGATCAATTTAGAAATCCTGAGTGATTTTTCCCAAAACAGAGAATGACTTGAAGTGTTTTGTTTACTGTATTACAATATTATAATTTTAAAAGTATCCAGTGAATGAATACAGCCAAGAGTGAGGTCATAAACAGAGCCAAACTAATTTTTTTATGATTAGGTCTACAGATTTCCCAATATTTATATTGCATACTTAATTTAACCATTTGCAGGGAAAGTCTATATGGTTTAACTATTATAAAAAGAATCAAAATGGTAATTCAAAGTTGGAAACATTTTTCTTTTTCTTTCTTTGATCACTCTGCTCAAATTAAAACATTTTGGCCCTCATAATGCCCCAGTCATAGCTAGCAGACTGTCTGCCACTATTAAAAGAAACCACTTACCTTTTTTAAACTGTATCCTGCATGAAAAATAATGGGAGGTAATAGAACATTGAAGAAGATGGAAGGATCAAAGGTCATCTGCCAGAAAAAAACAGGAAAGATAAAGATATTGGATATTTTAAAAGTATCATATTTTACATCATTAACATTTTACATCAATAACACAGAGCAATATTTAAGAAAACAGTTCTTTCTGATCCCTTACCTGTACTAAAATGTATAAGGAATGTCTAAAACATTCCTTATACATTTTTAGTACAGGTGAAAAATGTATAAAGAAAAAATGTATAAGACATGGAATAATAAAATAGCAAATAATGAATGAAGGCAAATACACAAGTCTCAGGATAATGTTATAGGACCCAATCTCAAGAGGTCACCGACTCAAATTGGATCCTGCAAATAGCAATTTGCAAATCTGCAAATAACAAAACATTCAAATGAATTTCAAAAGTAAAAAGAAGAATATTGCGATGTTTCATTTTCTGCAAATGCTGATTTGAAAGTGATTAAGAAAAAAATGTTTAATGTCCATCTGTGGGAACTCCTGTTGAAGCAGTGAAACTTTAGCAGCAAAGGCCTATATTGTTATGCAATTGTTATGTGATGTTTCTGGAAGTTTGTTTGTTTATCAAATTTATTTTTAACATCTATCTTGTGGTTCTGAAAACTCTGAGTGGCTTAAATCAAGATAAAGCAACACATACTAGCAGTTATAAATATAAAATGGATTACCCTCATAAAAATTAAAACAAAGTTTTAAAAAAAGGTTTGGAGGTGTGAAGTGGGGTACCTTCTCTGTTAGTGTACCAACCACTTCTACCCAGAAACTCCTTCAGGAACACATATTCCAGGTTGCCATTAACTGGCACCTGAAACCAGCCTGATATATTTTGTTACTTAAGGCAAAGGGTATAATGTTGCTACTTCATCTATTCATGTACAGAACCCAGCTAGAGTAACAGCTGAATCTTATTTCAGTGTGGGAAATAGGGCAGTTTCTTTTCTTGCACTCTGGGCAGCCAGCTGCTTGGGTGGCTCATGGTTTTAGGGAGCAGATGTTGCCTGTATGTCAAGACTTGCAGCTTAACACAGCTGCTCCATTGTTTGGAATATTAGGGCTGTTGCTAAGAGCAGATGTGTTACCTACATGAGCATATACATTTTGGTACAAGCCCAACAAAGAATGTAAGAATGCTCCAGGGCTAAGGTGGGCAAATGAATTAACACTGCAGTATAGAAATGTACCATGCATAAATATTCTCTGTTTTTTACTCGACCAGTTCTTATTCAATGTGATGAAAGGAAAAAATGCTTTTGAAATTTACTTCAAAACAGTAGCAATTAAATCCCTAGGGAAGATATTTGAGAGGAAAATTTTCAGCTGGGGGGGGCCTTCAGGTTGAAGAACATGGAGAGTCATAGTAACATCAAAATGGTGGAAAGAAAATATCTTAGCCTCTTTACTTATTTGAGATTTATGTATTGCCTCAGTCCAAAATAAATTCTAGTTGATGTACAAAACACAAATTAACAATAAAAATAATACCATAATGTATTAATGTATGTGACAATAAAAAAAATGAACCAATGACTTCATACTAAATCATACTTTTTCAAATGGTCAGGAAGTTTTTTTTTATAAGCTTCCAGAAGGGTGAAAAGTGGGAGTCAATCTTGCTTTGAGGACCAAAATGCTCCAGAGGAGGGGAGACTTTATAACAGAAGTTATTTAATTTTTTGTGACATGAGCCCTCTTCTGGAGTCTAATAAAAATTGTAAATCCCTTTTCAGAAAAATGTGTGTAAATACCTAAGTATTTATTGTAGTGAAATTAAATCTGTAACTTTTCTGCTCTTCATGTTCATAGACTCCTTGAAATCTATCCACAGATGTTCAAGATTCCCTGTTCAACTCTTGAGAAAAATTAATACAATTTTCACCCAATGCCAGCCCTGAATCCAGGTAGCCATTGGTCCAGATAATCCATTTCTATCAGAATTCTTTCTAATTTTTAAACCTCCCTTTTCTCAAAACTTTCCTAAGAAGAAAGGATTGGAAAGTGAACAGTGGTTATTCATTAACACTGGATCAAAGACTGCCCTTTTGAGGAGAAGATGGAGAAGTGCATTTTTCAAAGCTGTTGGAACCTATCCTTTTCTCAAAGAAGTGTTGACTGCCATGTGAATCTAGAAATCTTGCTCAGTCAGATACACATGCATCACAAAGAATCAGTCCAATCTTTGAGAACCACAGACTCAAAAATCTTCTAAGTAACATGTAAAAGGATTAAATCTAATCATCTCATTAGACTCAATCAATCCAATTTTACAACTGAGAGAAAATACAAAAACATTATCTAACCTTCAAAATGTTGAGTGATAACCATAACCTATAGCAACTGATCTTCTGGTTGGCCCTTCCCTAATATGATCTAGGACAAATTAATATCTGCCTTTTGAAGGTTTTTTATTATTGTAAATCAATTTTATTTAACAAAAATATTAGTTGAAATTTCAGTAAGAGTGTTTCTACTCATTAACAGCAACATAAAATTCTTTGTTATGCTTTCTATTCCCACTCGGACCAATAGGAAAGGCTTGGTACTATGGCAATGGTACTGCTTTGCCTCTAAGGACCTTTCACTTACTAGTGTTCAAATAAAGAACAAACTATTGAAAGGATATTTCATATCAGTTATCTAAATTGTTTTCTTAATCTGTATTGCCTTCACATTATAGCAAATTATAATGTTGTCTGGTTTTGGTTTAGTGTATTGTGTGAACAGTTATCTGTGATTAAATAAACCATAATATATTATAATGTACAAACCAGGTTACTGTCTTCTATATATTTTAGAAACATGGTAAAATAACCATGTAAAATTAAGACAGTATATCCTGTTTTACAGTAATTTTTTCAGAAATATATCTGATTAGATAAGAAAGTAGATAAACAATTATGCAAAGATGACTTGGGTTCAAATTAATAGTCTTCAGACCTTGACTGGAAGTATAGTGATTTGAATGTAGGGAGTCTGTCCTCAAGACCCATTCTCTGATAAAGCCTCCACAAAATCAAGGGGACATTTGAAGAAAGTGTCAATTATGAATATGGGATGGAAGATGATTTCCCCTACTGATGGCATCCCAGTAACAAAGAATTATGGCTAGTAGTCATTACTCAGGTTGGAACTCCTGACACACCTTAGTCTTTCTAGTTGGGTGACTCTAAGGCCTTCTACAAATAATCTTCCCTTCAGGCTAACTCTTAGAAAAATAAGAAATATTTTAAGACTTTTTTTCTTTCTCAATCTTAGAAACACAAAATGCAACAAAATCTTACGAAATTTCAAAGAACACAAGGGATTGTACAGCAACTGTGAAATCCTCTGCATGAAATGTTCACATAATTCATTTTTAAAATAAGCAGCATAATGTCCAGATGCACATACACAAAATTTGGGAAAAAGTGAAGAAAACATGAAAAAATTTTAAAAAATCTCACACAGCTTTTCAAAGTTAATCAATGGTGTCTAGTGGAGTAAGCTTTGAGACTCAAAAGATATGCTATCTTAATTTTAGAAAGGATGCTTCTTTCCTTCCTTGCTCTTTGCATTTGCTTGAGTTTTTTTCAAAAACTGGACTGAGCAGTAGTTGGGGAAGGAGAAGTGCTGTGCTTTTTGCTGTATTTCAAAAAAACTGTGAAATAAGATCCTCTATGGCCCTGTTTCTCAACCTTGGCAATTTTAACATGCTGGCTGAGGAATTCTGGGATTCTGTCATCTTAAATATGACAAGATTAAGAAAGTCTTCTTTATTGGGAGGAGATATAAGCTGGGTGGGGCCCAGAGAAAGAGGGAGAATGATGCAAGAATTCCCATAGCTGGGAAGGTCTTGAATTTCAGTGTAACAAAAGGAAAATTGCATTAGTTTTCAGTCAGTCATGTTGCAATTCAGTTGGGTATAAATTGGCTCTACTTTCAGCTGCTTCCAGCTTTGTAGGGGCTTGAAGCTGGCTTTAAAATAAGTCATCTTTTTGAATTTTCTTTATCATGCAAGAGCAATGCTGCTGAAAAGGTGGATAATAATAATAATGTTGAAAGGAACCTATATGAACTCCAACCTATATGACCTCCCTTCCAACATTATTATTATTATTATTATTATTATTATTATTGTTGTTGTTGTTGTTGTTGTTGTTATTTACCTTTTCAGCAGTGTTGCTCTTACATGATAAAGAAAACTTGCCTGCAATTTTATACTTACTTTTAATAACTATTTAACAATGTAAAACAGAAGCCCACTTTATAAAATATCATTTTAGAAGGATTTGAATTCAGCTGTAACTTCAGTTTGTTTCTGCTAGATTAATAACCTTAAAAGCAAGAGCATGTCATTAGCCAAATGTTTTTGTTCCCATAAAGTGCCTTCCTTTTATGGGGTTATGATCCTAGATGAATTATTTAGTTCTGTAACAATACAGACTACAAAATGACTTCCTTTTTTCTTTTGTCCAGCAGAAAGCTTGAATGATAAACAGGAAGTGTAAACTCAGCATTTTTCAAAAAGTTCTGCATTCTGCTTACTTTGGTTTAGTAAACTAATGTCAACTAGCTGACCATTAACAGCAAAAGTACATTTTGCTGCATTGACATCTTTATGAGAGGAAATTGGGAGCAAGAACTTTTATAATTTTTTGTACTGACAAATTAAAATGGTATATTAATCTGAAAATTAAACCAAGAGAAGCATTTTATTCACCCTTCTTCTGTAGCATGAGGCAGAATAATAACATGCCTTTTATTCAAAAATTGCAACATGCTCATAGCTTCAAATATAGCTTGGTGAAGAATGGCCCAGAAAAAAGGAAACTGGTATACTTTTAAGAAGCCAGATGTTCTCAAAACCAGAAAATTATTATTGTAATCTACTTTCTGTAGTTGGTTTGCTATTTTATTTATTTATTGGAATTTCCTTTATTAAAAAGAAAGAAAAAAGATTAGAAAGAGGACAATGAAATTTCAGATATTGTTTCCTAAATATTTTATCCTTCTATAAGGCTAAAGCAGGTCGCTA